GACTAGGAGGCTCAGGTAAGTTAAATAATGTGGCCCTAATTCAATCCAGCTTTAGTTTGAGACTAGTCACTTTGGCAGTGGCATGGCGTGATTGGTTACCAGGAAAGAAAGTCTGCCTAGCAGTAAGAGGACCTTTGAGATGCTATGCAGATGTGACAAGGACCTAAACAAGCAGAAACACACAGGATGGAGCAGATTAAGGGGTATTGTGGATGCAATGTGTACAGAGCTTGGTGCCAGGGGAAGGGCAGAAATTCCATGGGTAATTTCCAGAAGGGGCAGGGACATCATCACTTCTCCAGTTGGGTTAGCAGATGGAAGATTTTTAGAGGAAATGACGATTTTACTTGTATAAGCGTTATAGTTGAGGTAGTTATGGAACAATCAGAGGGGAGTTATCTTAACAGGGAAGAAATACAGTCCTAGAATTCATCAGACAATTCCAGTGTGGAAATAAGGATCAGGGATCCACTAAGTGAAGAATAACAGTTGGGGCCAAAAATTTATATAGTATCCAAGAAAGATGCAGAGGATAAGAGGTGCAGAGGGCCTTGGATGAAGTCACATGGAGCCCTGGAGGAACTAATAAAAAAGAGGATGTGGGGTCTAGGGATCCAGGTTGTTGAGAACAGCTTTGCACTGGGGTAGCATGTGGCTTACAACTTTGGGTCCAAGGCTACAGTTAAGGTCTTTCTCAGAAGACCAGAGAGGAGCAAAGAAAATCCAAAGAAATCGGCCTTATCTTTAAGAGTATGATCCAGAAATTACATGGGTTCAAATGCTTAAATCACCCTGACTCAAACTTGGTCACATGGAATGAGAGCAGGAAGAGAAGGGGATGACAGAGGACGAGATGGTTGGATAGCATCACTAACTCAATGGACATGAGTTTGAGTAAACTCTGAGAGATGTGAAGGACAGGGAAGCCTGGCATGCTGCAGTCTATGGGGTTGTGAAGAGTCAGACATGACTTCGTGACTGAACAACATGCAAGGGAGGTCTGGATGTAGTCTATCACTGGGCTACAATGTGCCCAGCTAAAGCTTGGGAGGGTTCTAATACAAAAGGGAACAAGGGGGGATGGGTACTAAGGGACACAATTCTCGTTGCTTTCCCTTAAACATTTTGCTGAGAGAATTCTCTGGCGGTGGTTCAGTGGTTAGGGCTCCTTGCTCGCCCTGCTGAGTGAGGGCAAGGAGTTCAATCCCACAAGACAAATGACATGGCCAATAAATAAATAAATGCATATTTTGCTGATATCCATCTCAACAAAGCAAGGAGAGCTTTGACCAGGAAAAATGAAAAAAAAAAAAAAGAGGTAATTCTGAAACCTGATGCTTCCAGAAAATGGCTGGTGTGGGTGGGATGGTGATACACAGGCTAACTCTTGTGAGGATGCAGCATGGAATGGTATGATGAACATGGACTAGACCAAACAGTAAAACTTCAAGCTCTGCCGCTGTCCTGGGCAAGTTTCTGAACTGCCTACATGCCAGCCTTACATTACAGTGTCACTGAGAGGTTAACAGATTTAGTATCTACAATGCCATACATAGCACCTTGCACCTAGTAAGGACTTAAACTCCTATTCCTTTCCTTAATTCCTCCCCATTTTTTGAGGGCAAAAGAAGGACATGCCAAGAGATCAAAAGAAGATAAGAAAGAAGGTGGCTAGACACCAAAAACTACCAGTACTTTTTTGTAACTTTGCCCGGAACCTCAATGCCTAAGTTTAAATGAAAGCCACTCTACAATGCCAGTTTTGACACCAGTGCCTGCTCTATGTCTCCAGAGGCAGTTTCAAGGCAAGGAAAATGTTATGATGGTTACTCTAGAGCAGCACTGTAGGCAGCCAGGCTTCAAATACCAGAAGCTGCTGGCTGGCTGTAAAGACTTTCAAGGAAAGAGTTTCCTTTGTTTGATTAAAACATTTGTAAACGTCAGGTCATGCTATATTTGTAAGTAACCTGCATCTGTCACCCTATAGATGAAGAAAAGGAGCAAAAAGCTATACCTAAGACCAGTTGATGGCTCCATCCACTTACCAAAAAAAGTTAGCAGCCCAAGAATACAAGCTTATATTGCTTTCTTCAGATTTTAATTCTTCATGCAAGCTATCCACTCTGTACCTTAGAAAACTCTAGGGATTCTCCCCCCTAGGCTGTCTGCTTAGTCATAAGGCAGCAGAAGTTACCTAGCATGTCTAAAAGAACTGGTCATTAACTGGAGAGGCCACTAGGAGTGAAAGACCTCTCCTCTCTTCTTTCCAACCTCTACCAATCTTCAGGCAGACAGAAGATGCAGGAAAGAAGTGGTAAGGTCCTTGTGTTTCCTTAAGTTGGACCAGTAACAATGAGTCCAGGTGAACAATATACAGTAGGAATCACATTCCAGGAGTAAAAAGTGAAGGTGGCAAAAAAAAAAAAACCCTTCTTCTTTTGGTTAGTTTTCAAGGTTTGTTGTTGTTTAGCTAAGTCATGTCCAACTCTTGCAACCCCATGGACTGTAGCCCACTAGGCTCCTCTGTCCATGGGATTTCCCAAGCAAATATACTGGCGTGGGCTGCAATGTTCTTCTCCAGGGATCTTTCCAACTCAAAGATTGAATGTGTGTCTCCTGCACTGACAGGTGGACTCTTTATCACTGAGCAAACAGGGAAGCCCAGTTTCCAAGGTTATCTAAATATGCAGTATGAAAAAAATCACTATTATTATTGCATCCTCCTGTCAATGGTTGTTCAACTGCTGGTTGTGATTTTGTGGTTCTCGCAAGAGGAGATAGATAAATACACGTCCTTCTATTCTGCCATCTTGAACCAATCTCTTGATCACAAGTATATTTTTTGTTAGTTTGTTCAATTGAAAATATCTAGGGAAAATATCTAACTTCAGTTCTGGTCTAAAAGTCAGTGCCAATTTCCTCACTGAGAGAAGAAAAACAAGAAATGCTAAAAAAAAAAAAAGAAAAAAGAAGAGTATCTTCCTTTTATGAAAAGCTTTAATAAGGGACTTCTAATCAAAGTTTGAAGCACCATGTTTCCTCTATCAAAAATTCCAGCTGAGGAGAAAGAAAACAGTTTGGGGGGAAAAGAGAAGTGAGAGAGAGAGAATTTGCTAAAGACAGGCCCAGTGTTTTGAAAACGAATGCACAAAAATAATCTGAAATGAGTCGGACTTCACTGCCTATGCATCAACATTGAAGGAACAACAAAAGGAAAGTCGGCAAGAGTTTTCTCCAAATAGACATTATGTTCTGGAAAAAATTTGGATTTGATTTGTGTGCTTGGCATTCTTTTGTCTCTGAAATGAAGTATTTTGGATGCTTTTTGCAAGGCACTGCTCAGAAGTCACCTGTGTTGGTTTCATTTCTATTGTTCCATATTTATGCTTCACTGCTCAGTTTTCAGTGTTTACTAAGCAATTTATGATAATTTCGTATTTATTACAGTTTTCACAATGAAACTGCTTCATGATACACATCATTCTGTAACAGAACTCCCCAGGGGAAGGAAGTCAAATGCAAATCCTTCAGATCCAGGATCTCCAACAACACTTCATCACCAAATTAAAAAAGTGAAAATGAACTACCACTTCCACTCAAAATAGCAGATATCAAGGAAAAGACCCTGATGCTAGGAAATATTGAGGGCACGAGAAGAAGGGAATGACAGAGGGCAAGATGGCTGGATGGCATCACTGATTCAATGGACAAGAGTTTGAACAGAATTTGGGAGATAGTGAAGGACAGGGAAGCCTGGAATGCTGCAGTCCACGGGGTCGCGAAGAGTTGGACACGACTTAGCGAATGAACAACAACAAGGTGAAAACAAATAGCTTTTGTTTCAAAACTAAGAATTTTAAAGGAGAATGAGCAGAGGACATAGAGAGTGAAAAGGGTACTCATCACTCAACATCAACTTTGCAAATTATCAGAAGCCCAGGGATTCAGGTCAGGAAGGCAAGTAAGCTCAGCTGGTTCAAATATAAATGAGAAAGCAATAAGAAAGGAAGTCATACTGATAGCTTGGTATTTAGAAAACTGGGCTTCAACGTCAGAGCTATCAGGACTAATCTCAGTTCCACTAGTTATGTAACCTCAGGCAAGTACTTAACTTCACTGAAACTCTGTTTCTGGACCACAGCAAATACCTATATCAAGCTCATGGGCTTGGACAGGCAAATACACACAGAGAGCTTAGTGCACCATTGGAGCACAGTAAGCTCAATGAATGGAAGCCATCACCATTGTAGAATAATGATATCATCATCATCATTAATTACACACCACAAGGTCAAGGATTCTTGTCCATTTATAGTCACAGCCAAATTCTACCAGTGCCCAACACAGAACAGGCATTCAATAAACATTGAATAATTTATCAAAATAAAAGTACAATATTCTTCAGAATAGACCACTTGCTGTTACCAAGTCCATCACTTTCTAATGCTTTCTCAAAATGGAACGTCCACAGCCTTAGTAAAAGGCCATATTATCCATCTGAAAATTACTGCTTTTAAAAACACACATTCTGGTGCATTTTCATTTTTCGCAGAGATAGCAACCACCATAGCCATCTTTAAACCTGAATCAGAATTCACTGGCACTCCAGTGAGCTTCCACTGTATGGCAGAATGAGTTCCATTCCTGGTTGGGGAACTAACATCCCTCATGCCACTGGGTGTAGCCCCCAAATTAAAAATATCTACAAACCTGAACCAATACCTCTTCCCTAACATCTTTTCACTGCCTTTGAAGACATTATCACTTTTACCTTTAATGTGGATGTGAGGCAAATAATCAAAGAATGCCCTGATGTTTGCTTCAAAGCTAAACATTTAGCTAAATGATAATAAATAATTGTTTTTATTTGCAATGTTTTGCTCTAAAATATAAACACCATCAAGTTGCATGATCCAGAGGAAAAAATAAAAACCAGAGCCACGTGACCTGGTGCTCAGGATTTCAGCCTAGTGTGAATTTCCACAAGTAGCCCTCCTTACCTTTGCAGAATGTTCCATGGTGACCACTACTTTGGTTCTGGCACTGGACACTAGATCCATAGCCCCTCCCATTCCTTTCACCATCTTTCCCTGCAAAACAAACAGAAAATAAGAAGCAATTCTCTTTCAACCTTTCCGTATGTGGTAAAACAAAATTAACTTGCAAGAAGTTGCTGGAATAATTAATCAGAAAAACTCATTGACCTTCATTGCTTAGTACTTGAACTTTATCACCTTAACATTCTGTTGTTCTCTATTATTCTGTGGATGAAGGACAAGTTCAGGATAAATATTACTATATCACATTTATTAAATATAGCTAACATTATTACATCAAAGAAATATTAACAATAAGGCAATCAGTGGGTAATAAAAATCTCAAGAATCTTTCCAAAATTCTGGGAACATTACTACTATGAGAATAACAGATTAAAATCTATATACCCCTAACATTCATTTCTTTCTTTTTAAACATACAATTGGCACCACTGAGTCTTCAATCACAGACCCTTTCTAAAGCACTCTTGGATGTCCTGCAGATTAAATGCCACTAGGTAATAAACTAACACATTAGTGGTGTTTCCCTAGTAATGATTAATATGAAAGGTGGGTCTGTCTTTCTAAAATTTGGCACTTACCTTGCTCTTACAAAAATAAACCAAAACATTTATTTTTCTGGAGTTGAGCTGGAGGAGTTGCTTGTATATTTTTGAGATTAATCCTTTGTCTGTTGCTTTGTTTGCTATTATTTTCTCCCAATCTGAGGGCTGTCTTTTCACCTTGCTTATAGTTTCCTTTGTTGTGCAAAAGCTTTTAAGTTTCATTAGGTCCCATTTGTTTATTTTTGCTTTTATTTCTAAAATTCTGGGATGTGGGTCATAGAGGATCCTGCTGTGATTTATGTCGGAGAGTGTTTTGCCTATGTTCTCCTCTAGGAGTTTTATAGTTTCTGGTCTTACATTTAGATCTTTAATCCAGAAAAATAACTTCTTGATTAGAAAAATAATATTGTTTTTTTAGTCATTGATATTTTGAATTTAAAAAACAGGTCCATTCAAGCTAGTTGACTAAAGGGTCATGTGTACATATGTGAAAGGATGAAATATTATATGGCAATGAAAGCAAGTCACGTGCAGCATACTTGAACCTTACAAATACAAGGTTAAGCAGAAGATGCCAGACATAGAGCAATGCCTGCTACATGGATCCATTTATATGAATTTCAAAAACAGGCAAAACTAACCCATGATGTTAGGAACCAGGATAAAGGTTACCTTTAGAATGTAGGGAAGGAGCTAGAGAGAGTCTTGTGGGGTGTTAGTATTGTTCTATCTCTTGACCTAGGTGGTGGTTACAGGCATGTGTTCAGTTCATAACAATTCATGGAGTTTGTGATTTGTGTGCTTGTCTATGTATGTGTTATATTTAAGTTTTAAATGTTAAAAATGCTTGAGCTCTACACTGTAGATTCCTGATTCCAAGTGTAAGAAAAGTATGTTTAGGTAGGGAGAACCCAGCTTAGGTGAGAGCAGGAGGCCACAAGACCTGAGCTCTGGAAATTAGGTGTGTGGAGAAGACAGTCCAGTTGGGCTAGCAGCGGGCAGATTGAAGAAAGTGGTTAGACTGAAGTAAAAGACATGTACCAGAGTGTGTAAGGTGGGAGCTGAGGCTGGGAGCTAATTCTGGGAAAGACCACGGGTGGGGCTTTGAGTCCCTAGCTGAGCAGCTAGGTTTCTTCTTTTGGATGGTGGAAGATCATGGAAGATTTGACCTATTGATAGCAGAACTTCAGGATGTTGGAAAGGAGGGGAGTCCAGAGCACAGAGTGGTAGGGGTGGACACAGTTGTCACGATGGGACTGGAGAAGGGCAGATGAGGACTCTGAACTCTGAGACTCTCTGAGATGTGTCTGGTGGTGTGGACCTTGGCTAGTGTTCCAACTCCAGTTCTTGTTAGTGTAGACATGTTTGGGTTTGCATCCTTTCCTAAGTGGGCTTCAGGGGCATCAGACTCAGGCTCGGTGTTCAGGGATGGCTTGGTAAATTGTGCCCCTGAGGACTCCCCCATGATTGGATCCTTCTCGGAAAGTGTGTGCTCTTGCCCGAGCCAAGCCTGCCTGCCCCACCCCAGTGAGAGCAACCATGGGACCCATACGTGAGACCCTTCCATTGTATCGCTGCTCTAAGCCTTGATTATGCAAGTCTGTTTGCAGCAGTAGAAGCCTCCACGTGGCAGTGCCCGAGCCTGGGGCTTCCCTGTGGGCAGAACATGCTGGAAACTGGCCAGCGTGTCTCACTGAGGCTAATATGAGTATTGCTGAGCCCCCTCTGTAGAATGCAGACAGTGGAGGACAGTTCATTCCACGAACCCCAGGCAAGAAGGGTTCAGCAAAATTCTTATGTAGAGAATCATCTTCCATTGTCTTCACTTGGACAGATATGCTGTCCAAGGAGAAAACAGTAGATTAAGGCAGAACTGTGATCTGATGAGATGTATTCCAGGGCCAGAAGTGACAATGTTTCAAGGTGGAATGGTTAATATCTCATAAAAATGCTTGCTCTTTGGAAGAAAAGCTATGACAAACCTAGACAGCATACTAAAAACCAGAGACATTACTTTGCCAACAAAAGTCTATATAGTCAAAGCTATGGTTTTTCTAGTAGTCTTGTATGGATGTGAGAGTTGGACCATAAAGAAGGCTGAGCACTGAAGAATTGATGCTTTTGAGCTCTGGTGTTGGACAAGACTCTTGAGAGTCCCTTGGACAGCAAAGAGATCAAACCAGTCAATCCTAAAGGAGATCAACCATGGATATTCATTGGGAGGACTGAAGCTGAAACTCCAATACTTTGGCCAGCTGATGTGAAGAGCTGACTCACTGGAAGAGACCCTGAGGCTTGGAAAGATTGAGGACAAGAGAAGAAGGGGGAGGCAGAGGATGAGATGGTTAGATAGCATCACTGACTCAATGGACATGAGGGACAGGGAAGCCTGGCATGCTGCAGTTCATGGAGTTGCCAAGAGTTGGACATGACTTAGCAACTGAAACAACAATAGCGAAAAAGACAAGGAAACAGGAATTGTTCTTTGCCAGTATTACAGGGTAGCAGAGCTTCTTGAAAGAACAGCAACATTTGATTATGGTATGTTTATGATTTCCTGAGGCACTTCATGTGAATTATCTTTTTTTCCATTTTGAGCTTCTCAATCAGGCTGTGAAAAAGATAGGGAAAAGAGCCCTGCTTATCATATGGGGATTTATGTGCAGATGTCTGGAAAGGTGAGATGATTTGTCCTGTCTCAAAGGTGGTAAGAAGTAGAATTTGAAACCAGGTCTTTTGACTCCAGGTCCAGATTTTTCTCAGTACACTAGCTATATTTCCCCTGACAGGATTCAGCTGTCCTGCAGTAATCCTAGGAGACGTTTAGCCCTCGGGACACTTGGCCTAGCAGTCTCCGAAAACAAGTAATGGGAAAGTGGTACATGTTGGGTTGAGGGGACAGAGAAGAAAATGAGAGAAGCAGAATAATAATTGTTGCCCATCAGGCGAGTGCAGTGTTTGTTCCTTTTCTTAAGAAGCAAGTAGGACTGGGCTATAGGCATTGAGAGGACTGGAGAGGGAGCAGGGAAGATGGTAGCATGAGAGGGGGCAAACCACCATCCAGCAGCTCGCTGGTGAGGCCACCCCCTGACTCCTTAGCCAGGTCAAATGCATAGACAGCATGGGAGGAGCCAGTTGGTCAATGGATGGCCCAGCTGGACTGACGGCTACTTACTGGAATGGATGGGCCCAGTACTGGAATGGATACCACTCCCTGTAACTGCATAAAGAATATAAAAATCCGACAGACTAAACCTTCCAGCTGTCTACACCATGTGCATGCTCATTAGAGACGACTTTACAGCCAGGACAGAAGTCCAGATGAGTGGAAAATGAAAGTGTTAGTCGCTCAGTGGTGTCAGACTCCTTGTGACCCCATAGACTATAGCCCACCAGGCTCCTCTGTCCATGGGATTTCCCAGGCAAGAGTACTGGAGTGGGTTGCCATTTCCTTCTCCAGGGGATCTTCCTGACCCAAGGATAGAAACTGGCTCTCCTGCATTACAGGCGGATTCTTGACCATTCAAGCCACCAGGGAGGGGTTCATTTCACCTGTTCGGTGCTACTGGTCTGATGTGGAGCCCACTGTGGCTTTCGATCAAGGTAATTACTATAGAAGGTTCTCGGTTCAGTTCAGTCGCTCAGTTGTGTCCGACTCTGTGACCTCGTGAATTGCAGCACGCCAGGCCTCCCTGTCCATCACCAACTCCTGGAGTTTATTCAAACTCATGTCCATCGAGTCGGTGATGCCATCCAGCCATCTCATCCTCTGTCGCCCCCTTCTCCTCCTGCCCCCAATCCATCCCAGCATCAGGGTCTTTTCCAATGAGTCACAGTAGGAAGTAAATATTACAAAATGTAATTCCACCCGCTCCCCACCAAAAAATTTAAAAATCACTTTATAAAGCTTACCAGAAGCTGGGGCCCATAGATTTGACTATTTTAAAAAAGAGAAAAGGAGGCAGGAAGGCAAGACTATGCTGCAGNGGAGCCTGTTGGGTTGACGTCTATGGGGTCGCATAGAGTCAGACACGACTGAAGTGACTTAGCAGCAATTACTTATGAGATCAAGCATCTTTTGGTACATTTTTCTGTATTTCCTCCTTCTTAAATGTAATTCAGGTCAAATGTGGTCTACTTTTTATTAGATGGCTTATCTATTTTTTATGGCTTTGTAAAAATCAATATATTGATTCTATATTACGCATACTAAACATTTGTGCATTGTCTTTGTCACAAATATGTTCTCCCTGTTTGTGATTTGCCTTTAACTTTACTTTGGGGTCTTTTAATAAACAGAAACTCTTAATTTAATGTATATACACACATATATATTTTTGGCCACATGCTGTGCGATTTGTGGTATCTTAGTTCCTCAGGAGTGAGAGCTCAGACTGTTAGGAAATTCCCAGAAAACTCTTAATTGTAATGTAGCTTAATTTATCAAAGTTTTCTTTTTTGTTTAGAAATTTTCCCTTCTTTAGTAAACTCTTTTGTATACTGGGGTCCAAAACAACATTCTTCTCTCTTCTCTTCTGAGAGTCTCGTGTGGGGTTGTTTCTTGGCTCTTTATTTTGCCCTGCTGGCCATTTTGTGTATGTTCGTGTCATGACCACCTTGCCTTAATCATTCTTCTTTTATGTCTTGTTATCTGCCTAGGCAAGTCCTCCCTGCCATCTTCTTCTTTAGCAATGTCTCAACTACTCTAGAATCTTTGCTGATTTTACTCCCAAAATGGGATCATAATGTTATTACTGGTTGATAACTTGCTTAAAAAAAAAACTTAATAAATATTGTGAATATTTTGGAATTACGTAATGCTGTAAAATATAATTTTAATAACTACATGACATATTATAATTTAGATATACTATAATTTACTCATTTCATTCCCCCATTCTTGATATTTAAGTTGTTACCAAATTTTCTTGTTATAAAAGGTTTTATGGTGACTATTCCTGTGGTAAAATATTCATGCCTATTTTCTCAGGATGGAAGTAGGATGTCTAAGGATTTGTTCAATTTTAAGTTTTTTTGATAGAAATTACTACGTTATTTTTTAGGAAGTTCATATGAACTGTGTGATAGTGAGGTCGCAGGGCAGGTACCCTTACGAAAAGGGAACATTATCATTCCCAAAAACAAGAAGCAAAAAGAACCCTCACGTTTTCCAGCTCCATGGGCAAATAATTTAAAACCAGGTTAAATTTGGTTTACAAATCTAATCTGGATTAGCATATTCTGTGTATTTTTCTAGTGAACAGCCCTGGGATTTTGTACCATGAACATGTACCTAAATATCATCTCCCTTTGTCCCATTAGAGGTACTGAGCTGGGCGGATGGCCCATGGAGAACAGAGTGCCCTGGTGATGGAGTTTATCTTGCTGGGATTTCCTCTCAGCAGGCTGGTGGAGCTGCTGTTCCTGGTGTTCCTGCTGCCCACATTCCTGGTGACGCTCCTGGGAAACCTGCTCATCATCTCCGTGGTGCTGTCCTTCACCCGCCCCCACACCTCTGTGCACTTCTTCCTGTGCAACCTCTCCATCATGGATATCCTCTTCACCTCTGTCATTTCCCCAAAACACTGGCCAACTTAGTATCTGGTGATAAAACCATCTCCTTTGCTGGCTGTATCACCTGGTGCTATTTCTACTTCTTCCCGGGCACAGTAGAGTTTCTCCTGCTGACAGTCATGTCCTATAACTGCTATGCCACCATCTGCTACCCCCTGTGGTATAGCATCATTATGAGGCCCCCCGTCTGCATCAGGACAGTTGTGTTCTCTTGGGTGGGAGGCTTCGTATCTGTGCTGTTTCCAACCATCCTCATCTCCTAGCTGCCCTTCTGTGACTCCAACATCATTAACCACTTCTTCTGTGACAGTGGACTTTGCTGGCCCCAGCCTGTGCGGACACCACTGCTATCGAGCTGATGGATTTTATGCTTTCATCCACGGTCATCCTCTGCTGCATAGTCCTCGTGGCCTTTTCCTATGTGTACATCATCCTGACGATAGTGAGCATCCCTTCTGCAAGTGGAAGAAAGAAGGCCTTCAAACCTGTGCTTCCCACTTGACCATAGTTGTGATTTCCAGCAGTATCATGGTGTTTATCTACGTGACTCCATCCCAGAAAGAATATCTGGAGGTCAACAAGGTCCCTTCAGTCCTGAGTGGTGACTCCATTCCTCAACCCCTTCATATATACCCTGAGGAATGATACAGTGTTGAAAGTCCTCAGGGATGTGTGACTGGGTTCGAGCAGGTTTGGAAAAGAGGATGAGGACAACGCTGAGGAGAGGAGTGTCCTCTGTCAGTGACCACAGAGGAGGGGGATAGTTCCTCTTCCTCTTCACTACCAGGTACCCATTGTGCAGACTCCCAGTATTAAAAGAGAGGAATTTAAAAAAATAAATAAATAAAAGAGAGGAATTTTTTTAGAAAATAAAAAAGAAAGGGGCTTCCCAGGTGATCCAGTGGTTAAGACTCTGTGCTTCCAATGCAAGGGGAGTGGGTATGATCTCTGGTTGGGGAACTAAGATCCCATGTTCCATGCGGCATGGCCAAA